TATAACATCCCCTACTGCATGGTGGTTTTTTCCCCATCCCATATTTTTTCTCTCAAACACAAACTCTGTCCCACTAATTTTTTTCAGTAGCTCAAGGGGTATACTAATCTTCTGAACCTTTTCCCTTTCATAGGTCAGATTTCTTTACCCACCAAGGACGCCAGCACCGGTAGCCATACTTGGGCAGTTTAATCTAAAGCCCAATGTTACAGGCGACTGATACTGAAGACCACTCATAATTTCAAGCCCACAATTGCCCTCTAACGCCAATAACCCCGACCACCATACTGCTCAACACCACTCATCAACAAACAACCAAATTTTCAAATGAGCTTCCACCTTCACCATTTACAAATTCATCCATGGCTCACGACCACCGCACCCCCAAGGAGATTCATGTGTGTATTGGCTTCAATCGGAAGGAGTTTTGATGCCTTCGGTTGATTCATAAAGCAATGACTTCCGTTAGCTAAAAACTGCAACAATATGCTGCCATAAACTTATAACCCGCAATAAGTATGAGAAGATGGAGAGTAATGAAAGAAATTCATCAAGTTAAAGATTGTGACAGGTTCAACAGGCGAAATTGTACCTAATGTTCATGAAGAAAATTTAATTAGTCATCTTTTGTGAAAATAAGAGCTTGCCAGAATCAACCTATATAAGAGAACAAATTCTACTCTAAAGGCTCTGGTCGAGGATCTAGGAAGCATGGTTGGACACATGTCCAACACAACCAGAAATGTCCCGAATAGTAACCTCAGTCGAACATGGCTAGAATTTTTTTTAAAAAAACGACGGTTAACTATTAAGAGGGGTGTGATTTCTTTATTTTTTTGTCTTTTTTGTTATATAACTGAATAGACTATAAATGTTGATGAACATAATGATGTTATGAAAATGGCGGATGTTTATATTAATCTATTTCTATTTTAATTAAAAATTTAATATTTTATAGGTCTTATTAATATTGTTATAAAATATGCTTTGTTTTTAGTACATTATAACTTTATCATTATCTAAAAAATATATAATATTATTTTAATTAATCATATCCTTGTCACACTCGTATCTTATATTTTTTAACTTTGTTGTATCCCCGTGTTTGTATCGTATTGGATACGACACCCATGAGCATATTCATGCTTCCTAATCGAGGATACATCACATAAACAATGCCAAAAGAAGATTACAATAGGATATGTATACAAATGCAATGCAATTACATGACGAAGGAAGCTTCTGAATGTCAAGGATTAGACTAACACATCACCTAAGGAGGGTGGGATTTTTTATTGTTTACAGACAAAAATACAGATGGGAAAGATAAACTGTCTCCCGTAAAAGGGACGTAAAGAAAACAAGTACAAGAGATAGCACGCATATGTCCATCATAAAACAATTGAAAATTTCTACAAAAAGTAGGAACATGACCTCATGCATCTAAATGCTACGTAAATATGCCCATGTAATCTATTTCTTTTTGTTTCATAATTATATGGATTTGAGGTGTATGTACAATATCTAGGTCGACCAACCAAGACTAAGCTTATACTATTTGGCTAGAACACTAGCACGCAGAGAGAGCCACAGTTCCTAAAAGTTCAAAGCGTCTATCGATCAATGCATATGAGTTGTGAGAACCCGACATTTGATTTAAGCATTATAATTGTGGAAGTCAAAGGTGAGAGATGTAAGACCTGGCACCTTGATTTAATTTAAATCCAGCCATTTTAGGGTTTTCCACGCAGATCTAGGGCTCGGATTTTCCACGCAGAGCCTCCTGTTTTCATCGCTGCGACCACGAGCCCGAAGTATGTTCTTCTTCTTCTTCTTCTTCTTCTCTCTCTCTCTCTCTCTCTCTCTCTCTCTCTCTGCATCGCGATTGCGATCGCCATCGCCTCGCCTCTCTATGTTTTGTCTGAGTCGTGTGTGGTGTGTCTGAGACTCTGAGTCGTTCACTCTGAGTTATATATTTTTTTTTTTTTTTTTGTTACAAGTATAAATAATTATATTTAATATCCCCTATAATTATATTTAATCCCTACTATAATTCCATTCAATACCCAAACAGTAATTACATTTAATAGTTAATACCCCTCTATAATTACATTTAATATCTACTATAATTACATTTACCGCCCCACTGCAATTACATTTAATAGTTAATATCCACTGCAATTACATTTGATATACAATTACATTTGATACCCACTACAATTACATTTGATACTTCACTACAATTTTACATTTAATAGTTAATACCCACTATAATTACATTTAAATTTATTCTTGTATAAATGGATGTTAACCCAATAAATATGTTGAATTAATCAATTATTTAGCTTATCTTTATAAATTAATGGATTATATTTGTGTTTTCATGCATTTCCATATTTTTTCTACGTTTCCGAAACGTTTTCGTTTTTTAGCGGACCGAAACGGTAGTTCGAAATAAAATTTCGATCCTTTGACTATTGCCTCGAATTAGTATTACGTAGTACATTTATAAATGTAATGTTTTCCAAGTTCAATACTAATTGGAATGATTTTATAGGGTAGAATTAGAATGGGAGATTGACTCAATAGGAGGAATGAAATAGAAGTCTGCTCAAGAAGGCGAAGTCGCACTCGAGTGAGGGACTTAGAAATGCAAACAAAAAAAAATTCCAAAGTGCGAAGTTGACTTCATGGTCGACCGGTAAGGAGTCCGCTCATGCAAGCACTGCAGAATCATAAGTGTTGAGCTCATCCTAATCCAATAAATAGCCCAAAACCCAATTTTTGCCCCAAATCTCACCATTACTAACATCTTTATTAGAGAAAGAGAGAGAAGGTGAAGGCTATGTAAAGGTAAAGGCTATAAAGGAAAGGCTATTTAAAGTTATTCACAAAATGGAGCTCTTTTTTACTTTGATAATCAACTAAGGCTCTTCTTATATAATGAAAAACTCTCACACGATGAACAAGTAGTCCTTTAATAAAACCAACAAAAAAAATACTTAAAGAAGGAAACATAACAAAAAATTCACAATTCGCAAACAAATTTCCAATCCTCCCTATGAAGAACAAAGGGATTCTTGAAAAGTGAAGCGCGTGAGTCCGCCGAATGAAGCCAATAAGCAAATTATTTCCCAATAGAGCTTGAGATTATGATATTGCAAAGTTTGTGGGTCGTGATTTTCCGAATTTGAGGTATGGCTCTTTGAAATGGTTAATTTGGTTACCAAAAGAACAGTTTTGGAAACTGGGTACTCGATATGTACTAGCAAAGTGTTCATAGATGGTTTGACTCCCAAGAGCGGGGATCCAAGGGTTTCTGCTAGTTATTGGGAGGACAGTTGAATGGCAACGGATTACGATATATGTGGGCATTCAAGGTATTAGATTTGATGCACATCAAATATGAATTTTTACAGGAATTTCAAAAGGATTATTTTTTATTGATATGGTCTTCCTCATATAACCCCGTGATGTTGTTATATTTGAATCATGTGTTTTAATGTTTGAAACCTGCATGGTCTATGCCTATCTTTACCCGAATAACACGTTGGGTATGTTTTGAAAAATTATATCCTACTAGACTAGTTGTACTTACTCTTTCCTTAGCATTTCACTGACTCTTCCTAATGTGGATGGCTTCATATAGACTAGAGTACATCTTAACCCTTTTGAGCCATTAGTCATGACTCGTGAAAGAGAACAAAAAAGAATTAGATAAGCTTGACTTGAAGAAGTGGATTTTATTATTTATTTGAGTTGTTATTATAATAATTAGAGAATATTTGTTTGACTGAGAGTATTAGTTAGATGAAGTCGAACAAATTTGAATAGGAGTCACTACACGTGAGGTTGTTACTTTTTATCTCCATCGGTTTGTATGTTTCCTTCACTTATATTACTGTATATGGACTAGACTATGAAAGATGTGAAGCGTCAGGGGATTGTTTTATATTCTTGTGGTCTACAATACTCTTTTGGATAAATTTCATCCACACCGCCTATGAATAGGCATAACTTCAACGACACTCCCTGCCTTTTCTGAAATTTTCCTAACATCCCCTATCAATGTTTGTCTACTAACAAATGTGACGGAAATGCGTGGTTTACCATTATACCCATAAACTTTATAAAGATTAACGTATTAACCAATTGTTTTTATTTAAGCCATAAGTAAACATATATATGCATACACATAAAAATGTATTGATAATATGGAGAGAGAGAGTGAGAGAGAGAGAGAGAGAGGATCAAATGTCAACCCTCAACCCACTTCTCCCTTACCAGCCAATCCCACCATCTTCACAACACGCCCCTGCCACTTCCACTTCTTTTCCCACCTCCGTTGATCTCGCTCCCCACCCTAACCCTAACCTTACCCTTCCACCCCCACTAATGACCCCTATCCCTCCCCTTTTCCCACCCACCAGCAGCCCCCATTCCCACATCAGCCACTGCCACCGCTAGTGACAAAGAGAGAGAGGGGATGACGCTTTCCTTTGCTTCAGCCCCAATTCATCTCAATCACACACCTCCGCCACTACCCCTACTTGCATCTAGGTATCTATACAAGTAACGGGGAGAGAACCCCACTCCTACCCCACCCCACGCTATGCTAAGGTAGGAAACCCGAGAGATAGAGAGTAACAAATAAATATTTCAGCCCCATCACCGCCACTATATGCACCCATCACTACTGCATGTGTCCACCACTACTACCACCCTTCCAATCTAATTGATATAGTGTGATTAATTTTGCATTTGTGATGGATAAATTTTTTATGAATGGAGATTGGGAAGAATTGGATTTTGATAGGCAACATAACTCATTTAATGGGTGATGTTGATTTTGATTTACGGTCGCAATTAGCATCAGATTCAAAATTGTTTGAGGATTCATGAGATTTGGTAGTGAATTTGTGATGGGGTGGTGATTTGGAAAATTTGGTGCTTTTAGGGGGAAATGGTTATGGTGCTCATATTTTTTTTTTTTTTTAAAAGGGGTCCAACGCGAGGACTTCTCAGAGGATCACTCATCCTTGTACTACTCTCACCCAAGCACACTTAACTGCGAAGCTCTGATGGGATATGGTGCCCATATGTTTTTGTTGTCGTTGTCTGAAGAAGTTCACTTGTTCGACTATGCTCGAGTTCAAGTTCGAATTGGAGTATCTAAAACAATAGTTTGTTTGAGATCAAATTATTGATTTGGGGCTTGTTTCATAATCAAAGAACCCGGGTCGGGTGGGTTGCCCACCGGGGGTAGGGATAAAGGGTTTCGTAGGAAAGAAGAAAGGGTAAAATTGGCAATTAAATAAAAGTGGTATGACATCAACATTTTCTAAATTGTTAATAATGATTGTTTATGGTAGGGGGTGCAGGGAAAGTACAGATATGAGCTAGAAGGGAATGCACAGAAATTCCAAAAAAGGCAAGAGGTTTTGTTGTAGTTAAGCCTATCTATAGGGGGAGTGGATGAAATTTACCCTACTATATTTTCTAAAAAGCAAGCTTTTTCAATTCTTTTGGAGTCTTTTTGCCCCCATAACTCTTCGAAAGAGAGTTTTTTTAAGCCGGTGAGAACTAATAGAGAACAAAAATGATTAATTAGAGAATATTTGTTTGACTACGAGTATTAGATAGAGTTTGATTAGGAAATTATTATAGAGATTTAATATGAGATTAATTTAAAATTTTGATTATGAAACTATTTATAATTTTAGTAGGAGAGTAAATTTTTTTTTGGTAGGAGACTTAGCCGATAAATATTGATTTAATCCCAATAGAGAGATTATAAATATGAATCGATTATTCTCTACGGAGAATTTGTGTGATTTTTGACTAATTCCTTGCGAGGATCAGGTAAATATCCCCTCTTCTCTTATTCTTTTTCTATTCTCTAATTTCTCCTCCTCCTCTCCCCATCTTGCATGAGTCATCTTTTGCAATGACAAGAAATGAACAATGTAACTAAATTCTTCGGAGCATGTATAGATCTTTTGTAAATTCTGCAATTTATAAAGTAAACATATATTAGAAATATAGTGGTGATTGAGTTTGATGATGATTGTATAATTTGAAGTATGAAGATTGTGGTTTTAGTGTTCGATATTGAGTACCTTGGAAGGCCCAACGATATCGTGCGTCTCAATCCGCAAGCGCACAAAGCCCAACCGAGGTGAGTTTATGACCTATATCGTCTAAATTTCGAACCCCAACTAATAGCCCTAACCCCAAATCCACTCACGATCCAGGTAGCCCAAAATAATAATCCTAGACCCAAAATTGGAACCATAGCCAATACTTCAATTATTTATTTTGGTGATCGTCAAACTTATTTTTTCATTTGTTGCAATTTAAATTTTATTTGGAATACAAATATACGACCATTAACTTTTATTGGTCACAAACATTAACCGGCAATAGAAATATGCAATTGTTAACTTTTACTGTCCACAACCATCTGCCAGTAAGTTATTTGGATTACCTTGTGCTTTGGAACTCTTATCGGATAAATTAAATATCAATTGACTGTGGTGTACAGGTGTATAATAATACATAATTTCATATAATAGTGAAATTATACAACCACATACCTTGAACCTTTCCAACCCCTAAGAAACCACGAGTTTTTACTAATATTAAGCCACAAGAAAAGAGAAATGGATCATAATCAGCCCAAAATGACCTCCAAAAGTTGCCCAACTTCACAATTTGTTGACTGTGTTGTACAGGTGTTTAATAATACATAATTTCATATAATAATGAAATTATACAACCACATACCTTGAACCTTTCCAACCCCTAAGAAACCAAGAGTTTTTACTAATATTTAAGCCACAAGAAAAGAGAAATGGATCATAATCAGCCCAAAATGGCCTCGAAAAGTAGCCCAACTTCACAATTTGTTTTGTTATTCTCCAACTTGAACTATCCACATCAGAGATTTATATTGTCAACATTAAATCAAGTGCAAAAATCAATGAATTTGTTGGGGTGATAATATAATCTTGAAGTTAGTTTGCCAGAAAATTGCCTAGAAAGTCGATCAATTCTCTTAAGAATAAAAACACTTGAAAACTATCATACAGTGACAGCCAACACTTAGACCACATACCCTTCACTTCCTTATATTCCAACAAAAAATCAGCTCCCAATACTCATTTCTTAGATTGCAACTGGTAAAACGGCCATTCAACAGTTTCTCTACCCCTCATCTTGCAAACAATACACACTAACAAATGTTAGACCACTACGTAGACAGAAGGGAACTCTACCTTAATCAATATATGAGCAATTTGAGAGCTCCATGCACTTCATTTAAACATCTGAAGAGGACATGCAGAAGGCTCATGTATACCAAATAAACAACTATATACCATATAAATGCTCAAAACAGGAGTGAAATAACTTAACTTGCCTTAGCCATGTTAAACGAAGGAAAGCGTGAAAATGCTTTTGACAGAACATCATCATTCACCTCGTTTCCAAGATCACCGCAAAATAGACGGTAATCATCTGCAAAATGACAACAAAATAAAGAAAATAAGAATTGCTTCCAGCAAACTAGGTAGAATAGCAACAGCAATAGAAAGCCAGGAATCTAATATTGAAACAAACAAGGAGCAAAGTGCAATTGAAAAAAGGCAAATGATACATAAGTTGCAAAAGCAGATGATGTTGACCAAGCAAATAGTAATGAGGCAAATCAGGTTTATTTGGATGTACATCATACTTGAATGCAAAAATCCATGAGTATACTTTACCTAATTTTTTGACACAAAACAAATAGAAGTAGAGAAAGATGCTATCGAGAAAGTGGACAGTAGTGGGACAAATTGGATCTGTTAGGATGTACATTGCATTGAATGCAAACTATCCATATTCGTACATGTTGAAAGCTTTCAAGATAAGCATAAGTACATTAAATAAGTATATTATTTAATGTACCAATTGCATCCCGGTCTGAGGGAGAGTTTAGCAAAGGCTCTAATTGATCTGCCCGCTCAAATGTGGAAAGGCTTCTCAATCGCCACCTATATTGCTTGGTCTTTAGGCTTACTTTACTTGGGTCAGGCTAAAAATATGCTTTCAAAGGGCTTTCTTTAATTAGTTCTCTTCCCCCGCCTAGTTCGGTGCTATCACTATCACTATCACTATCAGTAGTAAACACGAATTCCTTCCAATTAGTCCATGCCTATTTGTTTTCTAACATCAAATCTACATAATAAAGCAAAAAGTGTTTTGTATCCTAAACTTATATTGAGCTTTTCACATCTCAGACCATTTCAAGATTATTGATTTTTGAATACCTATATTACACCTAACAAAATATAAAAAGAAGTCAGTATCCTTTTGTAACTTGTGCTCGTCTCCAAACTTCTGAACTTCTTTCAAAGTAACAGCCCTATGTTCAAGGCACCACCCACCATAAATGTCTCCATCATTATTACATTAATTGTTTTAAGTTTGTGATTCTTAGGATTCTGAGAATAATGCTAAAAATAGCAGCCCTTCCAGATGCCAAGAAGCTATAACTGTCAGCCTCAGAACTTATGCGCCAATCAATGACTAGCATGCTTGAACCCACAGGCAGGTGTTGTCCGACGTCTCCTCATCTTTTGCAATTGAAGTTACTGCTCTTGAAGTGTACTGCGTCTTGGAGTGATTCTAATTGTTCCGAATTTTTATCCTTTACTTTCAGAAATATCGAAAAGATAACCTCACTTTCATCATTCAACTGCTAAATCATTTATCCATCTGAAAAAAAATTATTCTTTTCCTATTCCTGCAAATTTCACATATGACCACCAACACCAGTACCTCTGCCACCAATACCATTTATTTTTGTGTATTGATGCTACATTGTTTTGTTTAACAGGTTTGTATTTTTACTGTGGTTTGTTCTTTGTAGTAGCTTTTCTAGGATTGTTTTTGTTTTGTTGGCTGTTTTGTTTCTTTTTTCAATAGGATTACATGAAGTGTGTGCATAGAAGTTGTGGAATTTCTCACTGATAACTATTGGAAATGCTTTTATTCTTTTTAATTTTTATTTATCCTACACGTTATCAAACTTTAGTGTTTTGTTGGCCACCAAGTCTATCATGCCTCATGAATCTGTATTGTAAAAGAAGACTAGTGGAGAATATTAGCAAAAGAATTCAATTTGTGTGCTTTTTTTTCTCTTAATGTACGTCAGTTCTCTCTTCAGTGTGCTTTGTGGAGTCCTGTAGTTTGTAGGATCTTAGAATAAGAATTTTACAGACATTGGTTTTGATCAAGTGTTCATTGCGTTCATCATATCTCAAAACATTGGTAGTGGCTACCTCAGGGCTACATCTCCAAAGCATTAGCAAACGAGAAATGATCTCTGAACTTATTATAGTTGATAGAAACCCCAAATTACACTATGGTATATGTTGGTTTGAAATTCGTTGAGCCGAGGTAATTCTCAAGCCCACAATTATATCCCACAATACACAAGTAGGATATCCATCAAACAAATGGTAGGAGTTTCACATAAATAATAGAGGTGTGCTAGTTCCATGTTTTTTATTATGTGTATGTATGATATGGGGTGGGATGGAAATAGGAAGATTAAGACCCTTTGGCGGTGTGCTTTCTTTGCTATTATTTGGGTCATTTGGTTAGAAAGAACTGCAAAGATCTTTGAAGACAAAGGTAAGCAAGTGGAAGCATTATGGGACCGGGTGGTTTTCTTGGCTTCTTTTTGGGCATCAATGACCAAGGAATTTGCTAACATTCCCCTTTTTGGTATTACCACGAGTTGGACAGCTTCATGTGACATTTAGCTGGGTTATTTTCTATTGTTTGCTTTTTGATGGTTGTTTTAATCTTATCTTTGGGTTGGATGACTTATCCACCATAGATAAGATTTGTATTTTCTACATCAATGCCCATTAATAAAAAATTTATTTCCTATCAAAAAAATAATAGAGCTGTTAAAATGAATATTACATTCTCTATCTTGCACATTTTCATGACATAGCATTAGTGGAAGGCTAATACCAAGAAATATTACATATACTTTGATCACTATAACAATAAAGGTACATACATGAAGAGAAGATGAACAAACCCAACATAACTAGATT